TCTCTGTCAAATAAATAAATAAAATCTTAAAAAAAAAAAACTTAAAAAAAAAAGGGAGACAACGGTAAAGATTGCCACATCGAGTGAGTCTTCCTTCCACGAATGATTTCTCTGCAGCACGTGATAGCATTTTACCCACAACGGAACTTCTTTCTGGAGTCACTCCTCTCACATCCTGTTGCTGCTTTCTCAACTATGTTTTTGGAATATTCTAAATCCTTTGTGGTCATTTCCACAATCTGCACAGCATCTTTACCAGGAGCAGTTTCCATCTCAAGAAACCACTTTCTGTGCTCATCCATAAGAAGCAACTCCTCATTTGTTCAAGTTTGGTCATGAGGGAGCAGCAAGTCCCATCTTCAGGCTCCACTTCTGATTCTAGTTCTCTTGCTGTTTCCACCCCGTCTGCTGTTACTTCCTCCCTTGAAATCTTGAACCCCTCAAAGTCATCCATGAGGGTTGGAATCAAATTCTTCCAAACTCCTATTAATGTTGATTTTTTAAAAGATTTTATTTATTTATTTGAGAGAGAGAACACGAGAGAGAGAGAGGGAGAGAGAGAGCGCGCACGAGTTGTGGGGAAGGGCAGAAGGAGAGGGAGAAGCAGACTCCCGGCTGAGCAGGGAACCTGATGCGGGGCTCAATCCCAGGACCCTGGGACCATGACCTGAGCCGAAGGCAGATGCTTAACCGACTAGCCACCCAGTTGCCCCTGATTTTTTTTTTCGTTCATGAATTTGCATGTCCTCCTTGCTCAGGGGCCATGCTAATGTCTGTATCGTTCCAATTTTAGTGTATGTGCTGTTGAAACAAGCACCTGTTTATGTTGCTATTTGACCTCTTCCCATGAATCACAGATGTTCTTAATGGCATCTAGAATGGTGAGTCCAGGGGGCACCTGGATGGCTCAGTTGGTAGAGCATGTGATCTCAGGATTGTGAGTTCAAGCCCCATGTTGGGTATAGAGATTACTTAAAGAATTGAAAGAAAGAAAAAAAAGAAAGAAAGAAAGAAAGAAAGGAAGGAAGGAAGGAAGGAAGGAAGGAAGGAAGGAAGGAAGGAAGGAGGGAAGGAAGGAAGAAAGAAAGATGAATGCTTACCAGAGATTTTCAACTTACTCTGTCCAGATCCATCAGAGGAATCACAATCCATGACAACTATAGCTTTGTGAAATGTATTTCTTAAATACTAAGACTTGAAAGTTAGAGTGACTCTTTGATCCAGGGGCTTCAGAGTGGATGTTGTGTTAGCAAGCATGAAGACATTAACCTTATCCATCTCTATCAGAGCTCCTGAGTGACCAGGTGCCTTGGCAATGAGCAGTACCATTTTAAAAGGAATCTTTTTTCCTGAGCGGTAGGTCTCAACAGTGGGCTTAAAATATTCACAATATTAAACTGTGTTTAAACAGATGTGCTGTCATCCAGGCTTTGTTCCATTTATAGAGCAGAGCCAGCAGAATTCTGAAGGGTCCTAGAATTTTCGGAAGAGTAAATAAGCATTGGCTTCACCCTGAAGTCACCAGCTGCATTAGCCCCTAACAAGGGAGTCAACCTGTCCTTTGGAGCTTTGAAGCCAGGCATGGACTTCGCCTCTCTAGTTATGAAAGTCCTAGATGGCATCTTCTTCCAATAAAAGGCTGTTTCGTCTACATTGAAAATCTCTTGGGGCACCTGGGTAGCTCAGTCAGTGGGGCACCTAGCTCTTGGTTTCAGCCCAGGTCATGATCTCGGGTTTGTGGGATTGAGCCCCGTGTCGGGTTCCCCACTTGGCTCAGTCTGCTTGGGATTCTCTCTCTCCCTCTCCCTCTGCCCCTCCTGCTCCTGCTCTCTCAAATAAATAAATAAAACCTTAAAAAAGGGGGTGCCTGGGTGGCTCAGTTGTTAAGCGGCTGCCTTCGGCTCAGGTCATGATCCCAGAGTCCTGGGATCGAG